AGCAATACTCGAGGCTAAGTCTTATCTGGGCCGTGTATAGAGTAAGAAGAAAACTACTTCTCAGCCTTAAACAAGTAGCCTAGCTTTTCCCCCGCAGATGCCCCCGTGTTTCTACCAGAACAAGTCCTGGGTGATCTAGACTCCGACCAGCCAAAATGAACGGCTCTTTGGCATAACTCGGTCATCCGTTGAAACCGGATCAGCGCTAGGACGCTTTTTGTTCGTCAAGGCACTGTGCTTTGTAAGCATTGAACTATACAAGATTGTTGCGTCCCCAAGCAGTGATAACCTCCAGGTCCCTCGAGAGAGGAAGTCACTGCAAACGGCGGAATACCTGATATTGGACATATGGGATACCTTGCGTGAATTCTATTTGGCTTTTCTGAATAGTTGTCGTGATCCTAGCAGATTCTTTGCTAAAAGCAATTACTTGAGCATAATATGGAAACACCTCCTGTGGTCACTATATCTAATGAAAATGTTTTGAAGTATTTTGATCAATTTAATATCCATAGTTATTTTTGGCCTTTCTTCATAAAATCTCGTGGCACTAAAATGAAATCGTAAAACTACTATCTATAACGAAAGTAGCCAGACCGGTTTTTAAAATGAAGTTGCATCCTCACTACTGACTACGTAATTATGGTTACAAACAAATTGTTTGCTAGCTCTTTCTATCTATTCCGAACTCGTTGGTAGACACATATTCGCTAGTTAACTTCCCGTCAGCTTTCTCAAAATGACAAGACCTACATATACCGTACTTATGACTGCTGAAAAACATGAAAAAACGTTGTATACGATTGGTTATGGTCACAGAGTTGGAAAGCAGGCAAATCCTATTCGCTCAATGCATTGCTGACTTACATCACTATCACTTACTACCTAAGACTGATCCCGTTCCCGAACAAGAAACTGGAGATAAAGCTCGATGTACCCACATCACGTCTACGCTAGCAGTGACATTTGATCCAAACGACTGTATTTCAACCAGAGTTCATTAAAAAAGCTTGTTACAAGAGCTCAAACGCAAAAGCGCGGATACTCTATCGCTTTTTCTCTAGGCAAACGCTGGCCGCATAACGTTTCTATTATGTTGCGAACATTGTGGAAATTATAGCTGTAAATGGCCATATATCTGCAGCTGTGTAGAAAAAACTCATTAGGTATAACGAGCTTGAAAACAATAATAATGACGGTGTGTGTGTGTTTGACGCAAGGATTACTCCACACATTGTTATTATACACTACCACTGTCTGATTAAACGTTCATGTAACCGAGTTTATTGCTCATGGTGCTGTGAACATTTTTTTTGCTTATGAATATGGGAATTATTGAGGGGTTAAGCTTGTAATGGGTTATTCATTCAGAGATACTTAAAACATTCGAAATCAAAGCAGAAGGCTTTATGCAAGTTGTGGATCTGTACTTAGATTGTTCTGGCATCGTAAAAGGAAATCAACAGTTATCTCAAGCTTTTTTGGTAAACCAAGGGCTCAGACAAGGGTGCTCTCTTGCCCCTACACTTTTCAAACTCTATTTAGAGAATGCACTTAGACAGTGGGAGTGGCAATGCCACAATATGGGGATTAATATATGTAGTGAAACATTGTATACGCTACTGTTCGCAAACGACTAGGTATTGCTCGCAAAATACGAGGATGATACATTGTGCATAATTAGAAAACTAAACACAGGAAGTGTATGTTGGCACCATGAACAACTGCAAGAAATTTAAGCACCTAGGAGTTACGATTTCAAACAACGGAAAAACTGACGAAGAGATTCGGAATAAGATGTTACAGAGAAAGCGGGTTATTAAACAATTGAATCTCGTTGTATGGAACGAGAAGGTCTCGCGGAAAACACAACAAACTATTTATATGACTATCCTGGAAGTGTTTATGGGCGAAACATGTGAAGTGAGCCAGTGCAATAGACTGAATGCTCTGGAGATGGACTCCTGGAGCGAAACGAGGATGTGAGAAGATTGGCGGAAGTAAAGGGGACTGTCCTTGACACCGTAAAGCACAAACAACTGATCTGGTGTGGTCATATACATCGTATGCCAGACTACATACATCCGGATACGGGTGTAACCTGAGGAAACGAAGATGGAGTGGGAAAGAAAATGACACACGAAAGCACAAACAAGAGCCAACCTACACTTTGTAGTATAAAATGGCTAGAAGAGCTCGAATTGTCAAGGCGACATCTAACCGCTGTGGTACAAATTGAAAACTAATGGGCAAATGCTACAAAAAGAAGGAAAGTGAATTCGAGCAGAAAGATAGGATAGGTATCCCAAGCGATACGCATTTCTGCTTGTTGGCTTCATCAGGCCCGAAATGAGTGCACATATGCAACTACAAAAGTAGATACACATGCCCATACATCCGGAAACGGGGTAATCTACCGAAACGACTGTGGTATAGGGCTATTGAATGGCTTGCGCAGCAAATTTTACTGTGATTATGAAGTAGTGATGCAATTTTTAATGGCTTCGTGTTGATTCATGTTTTAGCAATGACTAGATTTTCAAGATGAAAGTTTGAACCCACATACGAACACAATTACAGCAATCTTTCTTATATATATGATATATGTTATATAACATTTTCTGCCATTAGTGTAAGACAGATACACTTCAAGGAATCGATACAATTTTTTATCATATGCTGCAGGTAGCTTAAATTATACACAAATATGGAAAAAATAGACCGAAATGAATTAATACCTGCATATTTTGGTCATATTGTTGAGAGGACTTTTTTAATCAGGATACTCGAAAAATACTTTGAACAGTATTGGAAACAATATACATCAGAGGAAAGTATACAAAATGAGGCTTGATGGATTTCAAAATCCTGTTTCTTTCACTTAACCCTGAAATAAATAATAATTATGCGAGGACCATCCAAAAATGTTCACAAAATTTCATCTCCTCTATTCTTTCTTTGTCCCATATAAACCCAGAAGCTGCTCAAGAATGAAGCTTGATATCTACTGAAAAAACTATGCGCCCTAAAATCCAAGAATGCCGCAGACATTTTGAGACAGAGGCAACAAACGTTTTTTGTTGTTACGTTAGGAAAAAATTGTTGAGGCCACAGAAAAGTGTGTTTTATTGTGGCAAAAGACGTTTTCTCGCTTGCTCTCCACAATCACACTAATTTCCAAATGGTGATATCAGAAATTATTGAGCAAGAACATTTTCAAAAAATACAAACAGCTCAACTTCAATAACTGAAAATAATCAAGATCTAATGATTCTATCAAAGGAAATCTGTAGATGTGGAAGTCCACCAGGCCGATCAAGGAGCAGCCCGTGAAATATAAATTTCCAGGTTGATTTTTGTTATTCAAGTCCGCAATTTTGTTTTTACGAAATCTTGGTACACGCAGCGTCACTGGCACTGTCAAGACAAATCTAGAAACGTCGCATATGCCAATATCCATAAAGGCGTTTAAGTACCTTCTGAAATACGAAACTCAAGGTTGTAGTCTGTCGAATACTTAAGAATGCATTTATCAGATGCAGTTTTCATGGCCAAAGTATAAGCAGCTATCTTCCTATCGATTTTCAAAGAGCTTAACACTTTTTGCATGAAAAGTGTCATAGAACCTTTTAAAGGTAAATAAATCTATCAGCAGTAAAATTAACACAATAAGGCTTTCTAGGGAAATGGTAGTCGCAGCTCAGCAGATGGTTGCGGTTATGATCTGGTTGAGGCTTTGGTTTTAACAAATAAATGTGAGCAATATGACCACCAATTGTACCCCGCCAAGGAATCTTGCGATATTCAGGAAAACGTTTACACCGCTAATTTACCGTTATGAACTTTTGGATAATTTAATAGACACCACATGGGTATGTATGGTATTTATTGAAGATATGACCGGAATGAACGCTGGCATTCACCTTGTACCAAGCACAATGATTATCAGACAGGCTCTCCGGGAATTCATGCAAGTGGACGGATATTGTAAAATACCAGATTGATATCTAAGTACCTACAATATCATACATGAAGTAATTACCGCACAGGCAACATTAATCTTGGTAAACGATCTGGTCAAAGAAACGATACGCAACTATTAATCACTCAGGATGAAGGAATGAAGGTCAAGTGTAAGACGTGTACGCACCGGAGGAGACAACTTGCTGTTTTTGGTCGTCACGACTCTGCCAGGTTGAACACAGTGGAGGAGAATATAGGAACTATTACAAGTATACAGATTGTATTAGACTCAAAATTAGTCGATTGGGCATGATTTACCTCTATGCAAAAGTGCTTAGTTTGTCCTTTAGAGGCAGTACCGCTGGGGAGGGGAGGGTTTATCAAAACAAAACTGCCGCAGATTCTAAACTGAAGAGCCAAAAGAGGTCTTCAGCTTCTCCTATTTTGAAAAATGTGACACTACTATCAAGTGGGAGAGGTAGCGCATCCTACCAGTTGACCTTTCAAATCAAAGAAGCCTTTTGTTTATTCTCCAAATTGACTATGATTTTCTCTGGTATTTGCTACGACACCTCTCGTCGATGAATCCTTTACTTGAACCCGCGTTTGGCGCCACTATTTGTGAGTAACAACCGGCATAGTACAAATCTGATGAAATAGATGGCACCATGCATAGTTTCCACGTGCACTATATTTCACATATAGACACACTGCAGGGGTGAAATCAGAGAGCAAGTAATAAAATTTACAGTTGCGAGATTTATAGCGTGCTGTAGGTTTTAAACTTTTAATTTTAACCAAGAAGTCATACAAAATATTATTCAATAGAATTCACTAACAATACCCTAATACTCAAAACAAAAATCCACTCTCCAATAAGCAATTGCTTTTTGGAACCAGCATGAGCCATCGGTCTGCCTGGTACGGTGTCAAAGTTTTCCTTTTAAAACTCCGTTTTTCAGATATTTATGGCATCGATAGTCCGAATTGAATGAAATTTAGAACACATGCGTTTCGCTAGATGAACTAATAATTACCATCACCTCTAGATACATCATAGCAAACTATTTTCGCAACTTTCCCAACTACCCTAATTATTCCTCATTTAAAAGATCCTTTTATTTGCACCGCATAGCTTCAGAAAAGAAATTCGGAGCTAGTTTCTAAAAGACTTTCTGACTACATCAAGTGTTAAAATCTTGTAAGCATGTAGTTGCCGGAAATGCCAGATGTTGAGTCATTATTGACGACAAGGTTGCCTGACAGATTTAACGCGGATGCTTAATTTTCTAAAGTACATTTCACCTGAATTATTAGAAAAACTGACTCTGCATGTAAGAAGATACCTATATCATGTTTTTTACACCTCGTCCCCGGATCCGTACGATTCTCTTATATTGGGAGTATACAATGTAAACGTCGCACTTTTTCATGGAGGTAAATTATGTCCAGTCGAAAATTTGTAGTACTTCTACGTTCACGGCATATTGGGACACCATGTATATGTACTGTTATCTACCACAACCGGTCGATGGATTGGCTATAGTAGTAAGATGTATGTATTATTGCCTTTAATGTACTGGTTATCTATTATCTAGAAAGAGGCTTCTGCCATAATACTTGATATAGGTTTCTTAAACTTAGTTTTGCTGTCTACCAGGCGCAATAATTTTGTGTTGTCCTTTTTATACGGCCTCGTTCACAATGAGATTTAATACCCTTACTTAAAAAAAATATATTTCGGCATTTCAAATCCAGGGAGTCGTCAACATTGATTTTTGACATTTTATTGTCAAACTGGTCACATGAACGTAATTTTGAAACCACAAAACTTATGTTCTGCAGTCTCTTGAGCTCAATTTGTCAGTCGTGTGGTACTTATAATGACAGCAGCTGTGGGTCGGTCTCAAATTGCTATAGTTCATCAATTAATAATAGACTTAAAATCTGAAACCTGGAACAACTTATATAATATAAGAAATGTTCACGCAGCAACTAAATATCTGACTAGAACAATCACTGAAAGTATATCAAAAAAGGTCAAGAAAATTAAAATAAATCGTAAAGACAGTCCAAGAAAAAACTGGGTAACTGCTCGACTAATTAAATCTATCAATGAAAAGAACGAGAAATATAAATTATATAAGACAAATCCAACAGACAAAACAAAACAAAATTATTTATACTATAAAACTAAACTCTGCCAATTGATCAACATTTCGAAACAAAAATATCACACCGAAAAACTGCAAAACAGCAAATCTGACTCTAAAATGCTATGGAATACCATAAATCAGATCTGTAGTTCATCCAAACCTGAAACAAAAGTTGAAGAAACAAACGTCCATAATACACACAAGTAAAAATATTTCTGATGCATTCAATAATTACTTTATAGAAGTAGGGAAAAAATTAGCAATGAAAATGAATAAACACAAATATTCCGCCTAGAAAATGTATACAACAATCGATTTTCTTAGAACCTGTGTCTGAAAATGAAATAAAAAATGCCATACACAGTTCCAGAAATAAAAAAAACCCAGGTCTTGACGGTATACGACCAGAAATATTAAAAAGATTTCATCCGAAATTACTAAGCCCTTGACGTACATAGTGAACTTGATAATTGAATCGGGAGAATTTCCAGATGACTATAAAGCAGAAGTAGTAAAAGCCATCCACAAATCCGGTGAAAAAACAGATACTAACAATTGCAGGCCTATAACTCTAATATCCAGCTTTGCAAAAATTATTGAGAAAATTATAAAAACACGACTTCAAAATTGTTTTGATAAACATAATCGGATTAATGAAAAACAATTTGGATTCCAGAAAAACAAGTCTATCCAAGACGCAATTACTGGACCAAAGTGAATATACCGTATTTCTGTTTTTAGATCTAGCAAAAGCATTCCACACAGTAGACTGTTACTATTAGAAATCTTACACGACTCAGGAATTAGAGGCAAGGCTTATAACCTCATGAAAAGTTACCTTTCCAACGGAACACAGTGCGTACAAATAAATAATTCCTTAAGCACCAACTAATTGATAACGTATGGTGTCCCACAAGGCACAGTGTTAGGCCCCTTATTATTTACACTTTACATTAATAGCCTGCTGAGCTTAAAGTCTGAAGGGACAATCATATGTTTTGCAGACGATCATTTACTCGAATAACAACTCGTGGGGTGATCTAAAAGTGAAGGTTGAAAGAGACTTAACAATAATTGCAGACTGGTTCAGACATAAATGCCTAACTACTAAATTTCAAAAGACTATGTTCATACCATTCATAAATCACCGAAACAAATTACTATCCTTTGTAACTATACAGATTCACTGTGATAATATAAATACTCAAACAAATTTAACAAACAAAATAAAATATTTAGGTGTATATTTAGACTCATATCAGAAGTGTAATATACATATTGATCATGTAATAACCAATTTGAGACCACTATTGTTTGAATTCAAGTATCTAAACAAATATTTGGATAAAAAACAATGAAAATTGTATATTATCACGCTACGATCGAAGGTCGAATAAGTTACGCAATATTAGGTTGGGGTGGAGCACTTAATAACCAAACTAATAAATTAGGAATTATCCAAAAACAATTTTAAAAAATAATCTTCGACAAACCACTCTTATACCCATCTGATCTGCTATATTTTGAAGAAAAACTATTAGACCCTAGGCAAAAAAGTTTTATAAAATTATAAATTATCAATTTCACCATAGAAATAATCTATTCCCTTAGATCACTTATATCAAACTAGAAACAAAATCAACAACATTAAACAAACACCTCTCACCTCAAAATGTGTAGGCCAAAGATGTCATACTTACCTTTCCAGTAGATTATATAACATATTACCAAATTATGTAAGAAATATTTCAAATAAAACAGAATTCAAAATTGAAACCAAAAAATACATAATTGAAAAAAATCGACATCAAATTTCAAACATGATACTTATGAAAGAAATTTAAAACTAATGTAATAATAAAAACGCTCAAACGTTCATATACTCGTATATGTGTATATGTATATATGTATGTGCAGGTGTGTATAGGTGTATGCATATGTGTATATGTATATACTCGTATGTATATAAATGTCTGTGTGTACGTATACATGTGTAGTTATGTGCATCTATTTAAGTGTTTATTTATATATATATATATATATATATATATATATATGTATGTGTGTATATATATGTAAGTGTATATTTGTGTAAAAATGGAATTAATACCCACGCACAAGAATGTATTCTTCTGTGGGCAAATTCAGTTTATTTACGTATACCTATGTTAGTTTTAGTTATATTTGTATGTCACGTGAATAAACTTATTATTATTATTAATTGTTCCCTATGCTTAGTGAGGCTGAGTGATGCTTTTAGTTTGAATCTAGATAGCACATATCTCCTGCTATATTTTTATTAATTTTATGCATTTCCTGTAATTGGGTTCCATCTGCAGAAAATGTAAAATATAATAAAAAATAGTTAAGTGCTAGTATCTTTAGTGTTGAATTTCCTTCTTCCACCTTGGTCATTACCATAATACATTACACATTATTTTGATGATTTTTTTCTGGCATTCCATTTGTACTTTTCGCCGAGGTAAAAATTTGACATGGATGACAACCTCCATTCATTCATGTCCATCCATGCAGCCTCACCAAACTTCAATAACCCTCGATCTTATCTTCCCTCAGCCACATCTGAAAGGAGGAGCGTGGGCAACCGCAGTTACTGTGCTCAAGAACGTCTGTCCGGTACTACCTTTATCAGCCAACCCGATCGAGCAGATAGCCATCGCATCGATGCTACGATGGTCGTCGTACCATCGGACAATCAGCCCCCGCCTGACTCACGGTCGCTGGCTGCCGCGCATCTGCCTTGTGCTACAAGGTACTACCGCCACCGACATTGTCGTCGAGGTACTTCTTGTTGCTTCCTTTTAGACCGTGAGCCCCCTGTAACAGTTATGTTTTAGGGCCCGCACCGTCAGTCGTTCGTACGATTGTAGGTCTCTTTATGGCCTCCTTGATTTCCATAATAGCTTGTTTCCTTCAGTAAGTCACGTGTGTGGCTGCTCTGGATTTCTACCGTACCAACAAATCTGATGTTAGCTTATGTTTTTTTTGATGTCTTCTTGCAAGTAATGTCGAAATTGAGTAAATACCTGTTTGCTATAGGGGTACGTAGCTTAAAGTAGGTTTTCTGTTAAATACTTGGAACATGGTCAATAAACCTTAATTTTGTATCAAAGTCAAAACCAAGAATTTTTGCAGAATTAGAAAATTTCAAGATTTGGTTATTTATCTAAATGTTCAAGATCTGTGTTACATTGTCTTGTTTCCTTTGGGCACAAAATAATAACACCTTAGATTTTTGTGGATTAATAAGTAGATTATGATCTGAGATGAATTTACTAACAACGTTTTGTAAAATTTGGGTGGCAGTATTATTGACATAATGCAGGGTGTTTCACAACTTATCCGACAAATTTTAACCACATATGCACTGTTATGAAATAAGTTGAATTAGCAAAAAAAAAGATGTAAAAAAAAACCTATAGAAACCGAGATAATAAAATAATATAGCTTAACAGTTCCCTTACTTACAAAAGCTGTTCAAAATTGTTTCCATTGACTGGAATGCAAGCTTGGGCGCGTTTAATTCAACTTCGGCGCACTAATTCAAATACACCTCCTTTCTGCTGTGCCTGTAGGCTCAAATTATCGGTAGCCACTGTGATTCGGTCACGCAATTCTTCAATATTCTGAAGTGGAGTACGGTATACTTCGTTTTTCAAGTATCCCCATAAAAAGAAGTCCAGCTGATTTAGATCCGGAGACCATGGAGGCCATGCAATTGGTCCACCCCTTCCGAGCCAGCGTATCTGGTATACCTGATTCAAAAAACTATGAGCTTCTAAACGAAAATGCGGAGGTGCCCCATCGTGCAGAAACCACATTGCGCTTGGACAGGCAATGGCACATCTTCAAGAAGGACCGGCAGATCATTATTAATA